TCTGCCGGAGCCAGCCGGGGGAGTCCGGCTTGGAGGAGCTGAGCTCGAGCAAAGCGGGGCCGCCCGCCTAACCCTCCTCATCACCATCCTCATCCTCGTCCTCCTCCCCTCCCGCAGGACCCCGGCCCCGACGGGCCCCGACGGCAGCGGCGCCCGGGCAGGCAGGGCCCCCCGGCCGCGTTTCGGCGCGCTCTCCTCCCCGCCACAACTTTAGCATGATGTCTTATCTCAAGCAACCACCTTACGCAGTGAATGGCCTGAGTCTCACCACCTCGGGCATGGATTTGCTGCACCCGTCTGTCGGTTATCCCGGTAAGCAGCGCTTTTCTAATTTTTGTTTTATTTTCCCCCTCTTTCCCATCTCTTTCCCCTCTCCCGCTCCCCCGTTCCTCCTCCCGCGGGTGTCCCGAGGAGGAGAAACCATCAGATCCCTTCAGCGGAGACTGCAGCCCTGTGGCTGCTGGAGACCGGGGTCCCTCTTGCTTCTCTCCCGAACTTTTCCTCCGGGAATCGCGCTGGAAAACAGGCTCCGTGGGCGACCACAGGGAAGCATCCCTGGACGCGGGATGGGGAGCGGGATGGAGAGCCCCGTTCCTTAGCGGGGTGCACCGTCCCTTGGGGGGGTGGGTCCCTCGTCCCTACGGGGGGAGCCGGTCCCCTGGGAGCCCCGTGTCCGGAGGGAGGGCAGGCGGGCGCCGCGGTGACAGCGCTCGCTGTCCCCTCTCGCAGCCACGCCGCGGAAGCAGCGCCGGGAGCGCACGACCTTCACCCGCGCGCAGCTCGACGTGCTCGAGGCGCTCTTCGCCAAGACCCGCTACCCGGACATCTTCATGCGCGAGGAGGTGGCGCTGAAAATCAACCTGCCCGAGTCCAGAGTGCAGGTAGGAGCCGGCGCCGAGGCCGCGCGGGCGGGCAGCGGGCAGCGCGGGAGGGTTGGGGGGACACCAGCCCTCGAGGTCGGCCCTCCTCTTCCTCGCAGTGCGCGAGTATCGCGGGTGCAGCCGCATCCCCGACTCCCTCYGCCTGCACCCACCGGGTGTTCCCAGCACCCTCGGGCCAGGGACCCAGGCACCAAATCCCGGGCCTCCCCAGCCTGTCCTGCAGGAGCTCGGGAACACCCGAGCGGCAGCAAAGGCTCCTGCTTCCCAAGGGATCCCAGTGAGGGCCCCCACATCCTCTGAGCTGGGGACTGCATTTCACTCCACTGCAAAGTGGTGTTTCCTCTCCCTTTATGGGGACTTTGGAGTCAGGCAGGACAGGGATYCTCTCCTGGGGCCAGGCCCCGACATCTCCTCCCGGAGCATCCGCATCCAGGGAGCCTTTCCCTGGGTTCCTGCGGACTTGTGTCCCCTCCCATCTCACATTTAGGGGACACTTTCCTTCAAGCACCTGCAGCCGGGGCAGGGCAGCTCCAAAGCCTTTCCCTTTCTCACCACGAGGTTTCCAAGGCCCTGGTCACCCTACATGCATGTGGCCTTGTCCCAGCTGAGCCTGGAAACTGGGGATCTAGATCCCTCACTTCAGCTTTTCCCACTCACTAGACTCCAACATTTCCCCCCAATTGTTTCTTTCCTTAAGACCCTCTATTGTTCCTAACTAAAGATTTGACTTAAATGGTGATTCCTGGGGGTCCTCATTTGGCTAACAGCAAATAGTGAGCCATTCTCCCCACATTTTCCCCCAAAGAGTGACCCTATGGAGCCATTTAGTTAGCCCATTGCTGCTTGTCATTGCTGCGGATGCCCTCAGCAAGGGGGACCCTCCTTGCAAACCTCCTTCTGCAAACTTGGGTGCATGGGGGAGCCCCACTGCCCAACCCATGTCCCCATCCTAGGTGGCCCCACTCAGGCTCGTCCCTGTGTCCCTAACACATCCCTTTTCTCTCCCTCCTTCCCGGGGCGACCCCAGGTGTGGTTTAAAAACCGCCGGGCCAAGTGCCGCCAGCAGCAGCAGCAGCAGCAGAACGGGGGCCAGAACAAAGTGAGGCCGGCCAAAAAGAAGAACTCGCCAGCGCGGGAAGTAAGTTCGGAGAGCGGGACCAGCGGGCAGTTCACTCCCCCCTCGAGCACCTCGGTCCCCACCATTTCGAGCAGCAGTGCCCCCGTGTCCATCTGGAGCCCGGCGTCCATCTCCCCGCTCTCAGACCCCCTGTCCACCTCTTCCTCCTGCATGCAGAGGTCCTACCCCATGACCTACACGCAGGCATCAGGCTACAGCCAAGGATACGCTGGCTCGACCTCCTATTTCGGAGGGATGGACTGTGGATCTTATTTGACCCCTATGCACCACCAGCTCCCCGGACCAGGGGCCACCCTGAGTCCCATGGGAGCCAATGCCGTAACCAGCCACCTCAACCAGTCTCCAGCCTCCCTCTCCACCCAGGGCTACGGAGCCTCCAGTTTGGGCTTTAACTCGACCACCGATTGCTTGGATTATAAAGACCAAACCGCCTCCTGGAAGTTAAACTTCAACGCTGACTGCTTGGATTATAAGGACCAGACATCGTCGTGGAAGTTCCAGGTTTTGTGAAGGCCGCCGGGGACCTTTGGGACCCCCCCGCGACGCCGCCCCGAGAACGAACCCGCTGGGCCGAACACTCCCGTTCTAGTCAGGTCTTGGTTAAACTCAAGCGAACACAACTCCACGATGCAAAACGGACAAACGAACCCACAGCAGCAACAAGAGCCGCAACGAGAATCAAACCCAACCGCCACGACAAAAGAGAGAGACAGTGTTGGTGGGAGCGTCCTCAGACTCCTCTCCCGCTCGGACGCTCTGGAGAAGGAAGAACCCGGAGGCATCGGAGGAAGGAGGCCTTAAACGGACAGATCATCTAGCGAGCAGACAGCAGGCAGACCCATCTGTGTTCTTCATAGTTTTAGGCAATCGTTGGGTTTCTTTGTCGGAAGGAGGTGGAAGATCGTTCCATCGACGGGCCAGTTTAAGAGGAAAAACAAAAAAAGTCTAGGTTTTTATTTCTTTTTTTTGTGTGTGTGTGCGTGCGTGCGTGTGCGTGGAAAGATCCTTCTCCCAGAGGTTTCCCATGTGTTAGCCAACCCTCGGTTGAATATCCGGCATGGAGAGCATCTCCGCTCCCCGTCTCGCTCTTCTTCTCTCTCCCCCCCTTTCCCATTCCCTTCTCTCCAGCTCATTCCACGGTTTGGAGCCACTTGCTCAAGTTGGCGCCGCAAGAACTCGGGTCGGGGCTGCGTGGGTTGTGCGACTGGTTGTCCTAGCTGCACTACTTTATTTAAAGAAGAAGAAGAAAAAAAAAATAATGTTCATAAGGAGTCAATATGTAGTTTTTAAGAGACAATCAGTGTGTGTCTTATTATAAATGGTACATCTGTGGTTTTTAATCTGTGCTAGACTTCAAAACTGTGATCTCCTGTATTGTATGCAACCGCGAGCGCTGCGCCAGCGGGAGCTCGGCTGTGATTTAAATAGGTTATAATTATAAGTGAAATTCAGAGCAACTGAGTTACTTATTATCATCTCTCTCTCTCTCTCTCTCTTTTTTTTTAAGAAAAAAAATCAAATATATATTGGGAAAAAAAAAAAAAGAAAAAAATCACCTTTCCCCAGAGGTGAAGTGCACTGAAACTTTTTTTTTTCAGCAAACTGTCTCTGAATGAAAGAGAAAAGAACTAAAATAACACAAAAAAGCAACAAAAAAAAAATACCCACCCAAGGACATTGAACTCCTCTGTGGCCAACTTAAGCGTTGGCCACGCTGGGGGACACTAAAATCAACCAGGACTTTGGTCCGTTGCTCTGACCTGGATGAATTTCAGCTGCGGAAATCATTGTCGTTTATGCTTGCAGGTGTTAACTGAGAAAAAAAAAAGAAAAAAAAATATATATGCATAAACTTTTTTTTTTCCTGGATTTGGCAGATATGTATAATTATATTAAAATGGTTCTAGCACACTTGGCTGTTGTCTTGCGTTTCACTGGCGCGGAGGGGAGGCAGCGGGGACGAGGCCCCGAGTTTCCTACATTTTCCATCCCGAGTTCCCGTCGCTGTGGGGTTTTTTTTGCGGACAGGGAAGGAAGCACATGAAGGAGAGGGTTGGTGTTGTTTATTTTATTTTTTTATCTTTAAGCAAAAGAGATGTGCTTTCTGAGCAGACCCGCAGTGGACATGTGCGTATCGGGACTGCTTAAACGGAGTCCCTTKGGACATACGAACCCAAAATTGAGGGGAAAAAAGTGGATTTGGGAATAAGAGAGAACAAGACAGAGAGGAAGCCCCAGGTTCAGCCCCGAGGGATTGCAGCCTGACGTGGGGTAAAATAACCCGCTCCTTCCCACCGCTGTTTATTCCCGTGCTGCCAGCGGTGCCAGGGAAAGCCRATCCGTCGGAAGGAGCAAAGCGGTGGCCTGGGACCAGTGCTGGGATTTGTGCTGCTCTCTGCTGCTGCGYGGCTTTTGTTTCAGCTTATTTAATTTAATTTTATATTTTTCAACAGAGGCTATTTGCAGGGCGGGTCGGGAGAGCGGGAAGCCAAGTGAATCCCTCCAGGCTCTTCCCCAGGGATATGGGGAGGAAGCCCCTGCTCTGCCCGGATGGGAGCTAGGAGATGGGTTGGAGCTCTGCAAAATACWGCCAAGCATAAAGCCTAACTTCTCCACTGTTTTTCCTTAAATCAGAAAATCCAAGGAAAACTATTCAGGCAAAATATCCCGACTGGGAAAGCACGGGAGCCCCGAGCAGGCTGCGCTCCTCAGCTGCCCGCAGAAGCGCCTTGTTTTGTGGCCTTCTGATTTCTTCTTTTTCTTAAGAATCCTCTTAAAAAAAATCTCCTTTTCAGCTTTTACCATCTTGTCTTTTATTTTTCCTTCCCCACCTTCTAGGTAAGTGACTCAGCTTCCCGACGGATTTCTCCTCCTCTTGCCTGGCCCTTGGCACTTGCCACATTTTTGCTTTTCTCTACCTGTTTGTTTCTGATTTTAATTTAAATGGGCACTTGCATGGGCAAAGAGCAGAATCCCAGGGTGCCTGGCAAAAGCAAATATTATTTTTAAAGTGTTTTAATTCCTTTTTTTTTTTTCTTTCCTTTCTTTCTTCCTTTCTTTATTTTTTTCATGTTTCAGGTCTCCCTCCTAGCTAAATTCGTTTTCTCTGAACTCAGCGCAGAGAAGGGAATTCTGAATCCAATAAAACCGTTGGAAAAGCTGGAGGGACCATGAGTGTCTAGCACCAAAAAGCCAGATTGAAGGGCCAGAGGTCTGCGTGGAAGTGCCCTGATTTGATTTGAGCCCCAACCACTAGCAGCAAAAAAAAAATACAGCAAATCCTCTGCTGGTTCTGCAAGGTGAAGTTTCCCATTAGAATTAAAAGCTGAAAATCCAGTTCTTTCCCAAAATTGCAGGGACGAAGCAAGGTTTGGTTCCCAGCAGCCCTAGGGATGCCCCATGGGCTGTGTGGGCTCCAGCCCCACTGCCCATTCCTTGCTCCATCCCCTGCCCTTTCCCTGCTCCCCCCGGCTCCGGGATCATCCCCAGCTTTCTGCAGCTGCCCTTGCCATGTCCCATTGCCTGCCTGGATAGGGACATAGTTTGGGATGAGACAATTTTCCCAAAGAGCCCAGGACTCCCCTCTAGTTCCCCCCCGCCCCAGCAGGAAAGCGCTGCCAGTTTCCAAGGAGACAGAGAGGTAAAAAGAAAATAAACGGGAAAATCCCAAAGCGCCGCTCAGGGACCCYTGTGCAGCTGCTCATGGGGGCGGCGGGTCTGGCCCCCCGGGAACCCCAGTGATGTCCCCACATGGAGCGCACAGGGGTGCAGGGGTCTGGGCTGGGGTTTGGGGGGGTTGAGTTGGGGTTTGGGAGGGGTGAGTTTGGGTCTAAAATTCCCTGCACAAATCTGGGGACTGGGAGGGCACATGGGAAAGACCTCTCCTCCCTCTGTGCCCCCTACACCTTTTCCCAAGGGAAAACGTGGAAAAGCCCCATGCAGGGGCCAGGCGCGGGATGTGACCCAGCACCCAGCTGTGTCCCGCCGCGTCCCCGTCCCTTTGCCAGGGCTGCGCTCCAGGGAAGGGGGCCCCTCGGAGCCAGCCGTGCAGAGGATGCAGACCCCATGCACGCAGCACAAACGTGTGCATTGCAGAACGCATAGAGCCACGCACAGCTATACCTGCACCCAGCGTGTATATATATATATATATATATATGTGTCAATGCACATATATGAATTAATATAGCACAAATGCAAGTGCCTATCAAGGTTATATCAATGCAAGTCTAAAATGCCTATTGCATAAGTGCATACATCAATGCATGTGTGTGCACACATCTGTAAACTTCCAGCATGAATGCATACAGCGGTGTATATCCCATACATGTGCCAATGTATATAGGGGTGTATAAATGCATGTGTCAGGGCATGTGTTGCAGAGGAAGGAAGGAAGGAAGGAAGGAAGGAAGGAAGGAAGGAAGGAAGGAAGGAAGGAAGGAAGGAAGGAAGGAAG